GCAAGATTCAACCTTCTGGCAGAGGCTGCTTGGGTTTTGACTAAAATGTCCTATTTTGTGCAATTCATGGTACCGTTGATATTCACAAGGGCCCCTGGACCATCTGCAGCAAAACAGCCCCAAAGCATCAATGATCCACCAGCACATCAGACAGTGGGTACCAGGTGCTTTTCTTTGTAGAGAGTTTCCATTATTCGCCAAATTTGTCGGTGGTGTGTGTGACCAAATAGTGCAATCATTGTCTCATCTGAGCACAACACACAGTTCCAGTTGTAATTCCAATGAAACCTGGCAAATGTAAGGTGCTGCATTATGTAGCACTGTCTCAGGAATGGTGGCTTCTTTCCAGAAAGCCTTCCAAAAAGCTTCAGGTGATGCAGGTGGTCTCTGACAGTCAATTCTGAAATATTAAAGCACCAAGATTTATGCAAACTATGCAGTTCAGAAACTAGTTTTTGAGTTCTTTTTTACCTCTTTCGTCATAAGTAGGGGCAAAATGCTGGTGTGTCTTCTCCCTGGCATGTTTTCAACAATTGTCCTGATTGCGCTAAATAGTATTTTTTTTCCCACAATTTCTCAGTCTTTCATTAGCTGTTACCTAAATTGTAAATGTTCATCTCACATGAGGTGAAGGCTCTTTGAATTTACCCATATTGATGAATGACAAAGGGACTTTGCACTTGTGTGACATCATATATGCACCCCAGAGAAAGAGGAAATAGTGGCAGACAACACAAGACTATATTTCACAACAGGAGAAATATAAATACATATTTTCTTTCACCAAGGATGCAGTTTTCATTAGTGTTAAGATATTCTTCAGCGATGCCAATAATTTTACCCCACAGTCCTGAAAAATTTCTCTCATGAATATAATGTTCTTGAAGGAATTATTTAAATGGTAATCAATTTTTCTACACATTTTGAAGGAAATTGTGATACTTATGTGCATGGTTTATTTTATTTTTGTTTTTTTCCTTCCTTTGGGGTTACCAATAAATAACAGGAAATAACTATTTCCACTGTTCAAGGTGAACATCTACAAAACACAACTTCCTGGGCATACAACCATGTGAGTCATGTAGTATATTCATCATAAATCATAAAAAATTATAAATATTTGTATAATTTATTTCAGCTTTGAGCTGAAATTGTTTTTTTTTTTTTTTTTTTTAAACTGTGGTTATGGTTTACCTGTTGCAATCTTTGAATCTGTAATTCACATCTTGTAAATAGTAATGACTTATTTTATGGTGACACAATTCAAAGGTGAATTAACATAATCATATTCTTGTATGTCATATGCTATTACCCTAACCTGTAAGGTTGAAATGGACCGACAAAAGCCTAGAGCTCCAGAGTACTGACAAAAGCTTTTCCAGATTTTCCGTACATCTATTTTCCAACCACAGATCCTGGGTAGGCTCACCAGGGGCATCCAGATTTCTCTAACATAATTTACATACATTTTATGTGTCAGTATACAATTCAGTTTATTCATCGTAAAATTTGCATTGTTTGATGTGATGGGAAATTAGTCCCATGCACTGGCAGGCATATTACATTGGCAGGTAGTGATATGTGATTTTTGTCTATTCTCCAGATGGAAGACTCTCATACTGCTGTTGTCATTCTTTTACTGGCAGGTTCATACTTGTCCTGCTGAACACCGCTTGTACACACTTGCGCCTGTGTATGCCTCCCCCAAATGTTAAACTGAATGTAATGAAAATGTCAGTCACTGATATTATAAAGAGCCCTCCCTGCTGTTTCTGAGGATGGCAGGATGTGCTCCTATCCAGACACTCACAAATTTAATTAAGCCCTATATATGTCACTTAAAAGACAATTCAGTTTTGAATGTCAAAACCATAAAAGACTCTGACCCTCACCAGAAGAATTGGCTCAAAGATGATGGGGATGAAAATATACAAAAGCATGTTCGCAGTTGGAAACCTTACTCAGTATTATACGATGACTTCAAAAAAGCTATACATATGTATACGTTGTATATTCACCATAAAACACACAAGTCTCCCAACACCAACAGTTTCAGGTTTAACTGAAACAATGCTCAAACACAACCCTACAAATGTCATTTAAAGGGTAAAAGAATTTTAGGTTAATAATTATTCGAGAAAACTCTGGATGTGGAATATTCCGGTTTATTAAAATTAACCTTGAGTCATTACTTATATTAACCTATGAAGTTTCATCTGTGCATCACTGAAAGAGGATATATTTACATTGGTGTAAACAACATTCACCATATATACTAACCACATACAAAACACACAGGCACATACACCTTGGGGGTATTCCACAAAGCAAGATTTATCTGGATTAATTTAAGATAAAAGTCATGATACTCCAGTAAGAGTTCAGGTAAGGAGCGTTCTTATTGGACAATCATGCATTCTAGCTTAAGTTAACCCAGCTAGCTGAGATGACACACCCTTAGTTGTAGAGCTACACAACACCCCAGTGCCCAGGTCACATGATCAGTTCCAGGAGAATGCTTTCTGCTATGCAGTGGAAAGAAGTCTACTTGCTACCTAGAACTGCATGGGTCCAGTAAGGATTAACAGTGTCATTCAGGCCAGAGAATGGCCTTTACTCTTGCTTTAATTTCTTAAATACCGTATTTTTCGGACCATAAGACGCACCTTTTCCTCCCCCAAAAGAGGGGAGAAAAAGTCACTGCGTCTTATGGTCCGAATATTGCTCTGCTCACATGTTTTAACCCTCTGGGGTCGAATGCATAGTTGGCGACGCAGCGTACTTCTCGCGTCTATTTCAGTTTATCTCTCGCTGAAATCTTAATGTAGAATCATGAAAAAACGCTGGCTAAATCCGTAATCTGTGTTCTTTTCAAAACGTCCATTGTCGGAAGTATTACAGTTTTTAAAATTAGGTTAAATCGGCAAAAAATTAAACTATGTCCGCTTACTTTGTTTTACCTGCATCGGGGGCGTGTAGTTCCGCTGTCACCCGAAGATCGCTATTGACATTCTAAATAGCCGCATTAGCGCGTATTCAAATCGCATTCGCATGGTAATTTGGTGAACAACGCAACGGTGAAACACTATCCAAATACATCCCCATCAGCGCCATAAAAGGGGGGAGGGATGTGGCCAGGTGTCAATGGATCATTCATACACATGAAAGTTTTTTGTTACTGAAGTGTCTCCTACTGAAGTACTGACTTTATTTGTTAATAACAGTGATAATGGTTCTTAATGCTGCTGTTGACTACTGTTCACTGTACATGGTTGACGTAAAATATTGTAGGACATTATTTGGTTCAGAATCTTTTTTTTCTTTATTTCCCTCCCCTACAACTAGGTGCGTCTTATGGTCCGAAAAATACGGTATGTCACTTTCCAGCAAGGCTCCATTTTGCTACTTATAAATGGCAGTAACTCATGGAAAAACTGTGCTATAACCATTGTCTATTGATGATTTGCACAGCATTACATCCTAATTAATAACCCAATAATAAATCATACATAAGTCTGTTATAAGGGTAGACTTATTGTAAAGTGGTACCCATTTCTACATAAAATGACATGTAGCAGAGAATGTCTATATGGGGATCACCAAAAGTATAAACAGGACACTGATCAATAGGGACAGAAAATGAACAAGTTTCATTAGGTGTTACATATTACAGGTACAACTGGTAAACACGTCTTTCTTTTCTATTCCAAGTCTTGTTAAATTTCACATAATTCCAGTATCTTCAATCGTAACCTTTAAATCGGTTGGCTGTATGCAACACCGGTTTCCACATCTTCAACATTTAGTAACGCCGTGTTCCAAGATTCTGACATTCAGTGATCGTCTTGAAGCGGGTCGCTGTCTCCCTCTAGTGGCTAATATGATTAAGTACTTACAATGTACCCTACCGAACATCCAGTGACCACTTTATTAGGTACACGTGACTATTGCTGGGTAGGACCCACTTATGCCTCCAGAACTACTTCAAGGGTGGACAGATTGTTCTGAGAAGCCTTTCTACCCACCATTGTTACACTAAGTTTGGCCTGCCTTGTGGCCTTAATGAATCTGGTCATTCTCCTCTGCTCTCTATCATTAAAAATGCATTTTCACTGCACTGATTGAATGGTTCTGGTTTACTATACCATTCTCTGTAAATTTTAGACACCGTGTGTAAAGAATGGCAAGAAGTTTTTGAGATGGTGGAACCACCATGTCCACCAACAATCACACCACATTTAAATTGCTTAGGTCATGCATTCTAATGCTTATTATACAGTAAGTGAACCTCTCAACCCTGTCTGCATGCTGATATATAAAGTTGCAGCCACATGATTCGCTGATGGGAAAAGCAGGCTGTCTGTGTTAATAAGCACGTTACCCAATAAACCGACTACAGAGTACAAAATTGCATGATGTTAGAATTGACCGCAAATATTCTGGGTTAAGGAGATGGCAAAGATTTCTAATACTTCATATGAACATTTTTCATAATGGATAAGCTAAACATAAATATTGATATTTCACTCTGTATCTACTGTAAATCTATTGCAAACAAACCAGATTAAACAAAACAAAGCTCTTATTAGTGACGGTGTCCAACATATTTAAACCTGAGAAAACAGAATTGAACAGAATTCTATTTTAAAAAGTCTATATCATATTACACCAGGTGCCAGAGATGCCCGTTTCATTTCACATTCACTTAACCTGATCATTGATTATTTCCAAACTATGATCTGTGAAGCATAGCAAAGGAGGGAAGCTGATTTTAGAAACGAACCAGGCGCTACGGGCAGCTCAGACACAACTAAGCACTGAAAAGCTTCCATGGAGACTGCAGAATGGCACGGCTGGTGGTCAGTAGTGGCCAAACACCAGTGTGAAGCTGTTTTACTTTGGTTGGAGCCCTTTGCACGACAAGGGAATCAAATGGGCAAGGATGAAACAAAAAAAACGGGGCGGTCGTTCTGAGGGCCAGTGAAACGAGACAGAACATGGATGATAAACAGGTTCCCTCTTTATTGGTTTAATTGTTACTGCCATAAGACCTGCTTATGACATGACACACGCTCTTCCAGTTTCCATCTGCCAAAGAACTACCCATTACCTAACCAAGACTGTCCCCCTCCCCCCCAACTTCATGCCCCAAATAATTCACCAGTTAGCATCATGTAAATCACTCTCCAAATAAAAACAGGACTGAGCAGTCATAAAAACAGCATGATCCCCACAGACAGTTTTCATTACGCTATTTTCACATTGATTTGTTAAAAAACATCTGCTCAGAAATGAATTGTCAACTCTAAAAAAAAAAAAAAAAAGCAGTAAAAGATTCAGAAAGTTTCATAATATTTGCCATGGGATTGAGTAGCAGTATACAAATATTTACAATGAACTAGAACATGAACCTTATTTGGATTCCTGTTAAAATACTATTTGTTTCTTGCAGTGGCCTAATTATGATAATTAAAACAATGGCAATGATAATTGCCCATCTCCAACAGAGAGAACCACACAAATGGCTTCAGAAAACTGAAACCAGTAGCAATATAAAAAAAATATATATTTCACTGACAAAGCAGCCACTCAAGAAAAAGCTGGTAATGCTTCAATTAACCAAAGTTTATCAATTATGATGCTCATGATCCATGTGATGTAAGATTGTACATATCAGTATTGCTTTTGTAAGAAGTTAGAGTCCACCCACCAGGGGGCAGAGTTGATTTTATCATCCCTTTCCTAAGCATTCATGATTAATTGCGGTTTTTCATCAACGAACTTGCTGATACATTTGGACTGGAGTTTCAATTCTATGCGATTTTTCAACTTCCACCTCCTGGAGATTTTGAAAAGTGACGAATATAATCCCAGATTCTGACTTTTTTTGCATAATTTCCTTAACATTGTAAACGCTTACAAACAGTACATCATTATAAAATAAATATCTGGTCCTCACCTAGTAAATCACAACTCAGTGCTTTTTAGTCCTGATCCTGCGATGCCCAGTGTGTATGCTGGTGTGTGTGGAAGCAAAGCCACGATCAAGACGCCCATGTAAATAACGTTAAAACTGAACTGTACCCCAAGGACCTGCTACGGTTTAATATGCCCACTTGTCATTAACCCCTGAACAGCTTTTGGGCCTTTACACCATTGCAGTCCTCAAATAGTGCATCAGCTTTAGTGTGATGTGGCTCACATGATTAATTAGATTAAAAGCTCAATCAACCCCAGGATGAGCCAAACAAGAGACTGAAAACATTGGCTCACCAAGACCAGGGCTGAAAACATCGGGCTAAGAAAATCGATAATCTGGACCAAGCACCTCTGAGACTATAAAATACTGGTGGATTGGTGACCTCCAAGATTTCATTTGGAAATGCTGGTGAAGTGAAGCCAGTAAAGAGCATGTGGCTTCCCCATGCTGTGGTAGATTCCACGTAATGCATGTTCGTGATCACGCTTCCAAAATGATGAATGCTTTAAGACCAATTCCTAGTGACAAAAAGCAGGGGTCTGCTGACCACAGCCCTCCCAGATGGGCTTGCATCCTCAACGTGTTAATCCCTCCCAAAGTGTCACATAAAGCCTGATTAAACCCCTATGCATTTTAAGGGAACGCCACACACAGGGGTACTCCATGAGTACATTTGCGACTCTGAATAGGACGTAATAAATACATGTACAGTTTGAGTACTTCAATGATTATGCAAGATCTGAGGAAGAATTTCATTTGTAAGTCTCTTGTCAAATATATTAACTGCAGTTCATGAACTAGTGGAAATTTCCAAGACAGCCAGGTGTGTGTAATAAAAAAGGTGAAGAGACAATAAATAACATAACAGATAGGAGCTCAAGTTTTCCCAGAACCCTGGAATCAGATAGAGGTCGGAAGACTCCACAGTCCAAAAACTGAGCAACAGCAAGGGTGTCTACTGGTAATTCATCTAATTTTTAAGTGGTTCCAGTTCAGCCCACATGAACTGGACCAACAGACTACACAGACCTCTCTATTAGGCTCTTCTATCCAGGACAGAAATGTGAAAAACATTTTCTGGAACCGTCTGTGCATTTGAGTCAATTTTCTTTGTAGGCCTTAACATAACTGCTTATGTGTGCATCAGACCAGGGTGCCTGGAGCAGGCGAGTCAGTGCCGGGTTCGTTCAGTGTCAAGTCCTGCATCTGAGAGGAGTAGGGCTCCTGGTACAGGGACAGATCCAAGGACCTGCCAAAGAAAGAAAGCACCAATTCAGAAAAAGACTAATGCTAGAGGGCCAGCAGGGACACGACTCAAGCTGCAAATTCACAGCCTTCCACATAGCTTTCACCTTTATCCCAAATACTGTGCAGCTGCCATTCAGGTACATGCTGATGTACAGGTACAAACTCCTGGCATTTGCTACTCAGGGACCCCTAGCCAGTCATTGCTTGCCTCAGCAATGATCCCCCACACAGACGCTAAAACACTTCCTGGAAGCTTTACAAAGCAAGATACTGAAAGCCAGGAGTCGTCATGCACAGGAAAGCTTCTGCGGCTGGGTCTCCCACAGATTCTGACGTTGGCTTTTCTGTCATTGGGGATTCCTCACTCATCTGTCCTTAATACACAAACAGGAGCTGGCCATCTAAGGCTCCTAAACCCAAAGCTTACTAAGCGTTCTGTAAGGATGGGTTAGGGTTACTAACTGTACTGTGAGACTGCCCCCCCCACCATCCCCAGCACAACAACAAGCACAAACACACAAACTAGATATCTATATCTTTGTGGGGACCATCAATTTGTTTCTATGGGGAAAAACCCTAATCCCACAATGATGATCGTAACCCCTCCCCAGCCCCAACCTTAACCGTAAGTAACCAAAGAAGAGTTTTGGCATTTTTTGATAGCATTTATAGATTTATAAAAATTGGAATTTTCCCTAGTGGGGACAAGAAAAATGTCCTCACAAAGTAAAACACTGGGTCCCCATAATGTGATAAACACAAAACCGGACAGACAGACAGACCTGCCATGCAGCGGGTGCCCATGGAAGGACGCGGACTGGGGCAGCTGGGTACCGGGGCCGTGGCTGTAGAGGTGCTCCGTCTGGAAGGGTGGAGCCTGCTGTGCGAGGGGGTGGGGGTGTGGGGGATGGGTGGTGCGACGGCGGGGCAGCATGGCGTCCTGTCCCTTGAGCCCGGCGGCGGCGGCGTGCCCCAGTGTGTTCCTCAGGTACCAGTCCCTCAGGCCCTCCAGGGCCAGCGCCTTGTGCAGGCTGCGAGTGGACTCCTCCGCAGTGCCTCCGGGGAATGGCAGCGGCCGGCGGGCTGGGGGGGCGCCAGTCTGCTCGGCCGGGTAGGGGTATGGGGCCGCGGAGCCAGGAGTGGCGTGGGGGGGGTCCGAATAGGCAGAGAACAGTAGGGCCTCCTGGTGCTGTGGTTGCAGTGGCACGAAGGGACCACATGACTTGGTGCGCGTGACTTTGACCCGGCGTGGATCGCCCGGCTTCCCTCGCAGCAGCAAGGGGCTGTAGGGCGGCGGGCCAGCCGCAAATGGGGGGGCCTGAGGCGCAGGGAAGCCATTCAGCTGGGGGGCCACAGCGGCTGGGAATGAGGTAGAAGGAGCCTCTGTCCAAGGCCTGGCCCCGCTGGCCGGCTGCTGTCTCTGCTGCATCTTCTGCTGCTTGCCCCAGATGTAGTCCATGAGGATCTCGTTGTAGCTGCCGCCCCCTCGGCCGCCCATCGAGGAGCGCAGCCTGCCCTGTTCGCCATGGCCGTTGAGGTGCCCCTCAGGGCTGCCTCGCTGGACCTGCCGCAGCCGGCCGTCCGTCAGAGCCTCCGAACTCTTGTAAGGCCCGCCCCTGCAGGGCATCCCAGGTCTCTGCACACCTTCGTCTGGGAAGGTGGTCCGGTCCAGCAGGGCGTCGGAGCTGTTGCTGCGCCGCGTGCGGGCGCTGTACGGGCAGCCCGGCCGCTCCGAGGACCCAGTCGACAGCCCTTCCTGAGGGTGTAGCTGGACGACTTGCGGGCCTTCGGGGCTATCTGACCACTGCTGGCTGCCAGATCCGCTCGATACCTCTGGCCTGTGGGGGGGAGTTTGAAAAACCAACATCAAGCTGAAAGTCTCAGCTCATCAGATATGCCCAGCCTGCTGCTGCTCTTCCAAGCACCTCACTACAGAGGAACTGTTTCGTTTCTAAGACTGATGACCAATTAAGTGGGGGCCAGCTTGTTGGGGTTTGCTGGGGGGTGGGGGCTTCCTTCTGGAGAGGTGAGGCAGGGCTGCCTCTGACCTGACGTAGCCATTATAGGGCACCGTTCAGGACAGCAGCGGAGCTGCAGGAATGCTCTTTCCCTCCAGGTTGGAGATGCTCCGTGAGCGGGAGCGGCTGGGGCTGGGTGGGGCAGAGCAGAGCAGGATGTGCTGACGGGAGTGACACGGCAGCACACGGGCCAGGCCTGTAGGGGGCGTACATGAGCAGCATACCTGGAAGAGCTGGCCGCTGAGTTGCGGCGCGTCCTCATCTCGTAGTAGATCTCTACGGGCGACAGCTTCCTGCAGAGCTGGCCGTCGGGGCTCCCTGGGGCCAGGCGCTCTGGGCCAACACTGGGGGATGAGTCGTCTGCAAAAAAAAATGGCACAGGCGGGCCCTTTAGGTGGCTCTGCGGTGGGCCCCGGCCCCCCTGAAGAGAGACAGTGGGTGCCCGCACTTACCATTGTCCTGGCCGGTGGAGTCTGACATGGAGCTGCTTTCGGACTTCACTGCTTCATCTGCAGAGACAGGGTGCACACACACACACACACACACACACAGGGTCACTCACAGCACAGCAATACCAGAGAGCGACGGGTGCGGCCAGCAGGCTGGAGCTGGGGGAGTTCCCTTGGCAAGCTTTTTCTGTCGAATCGGCCCCTGATCTCTTTCACCTTGAGAATAATGGGGGAAGGGGTGAGGGGGGGCACTCCTTCAGCAAACTTCCTCCCCAGCCTGTTCTCAACATCCTGTTTCTAGAAGGTGCCGTGTTTTGTCATGTAGATGGGTTTTTCCTAATGAACTTCAATCCACACCCATGTGCGTGCGCGCGAGCACACACACAAAACACACACACGTTTGTAATCAAGTCTTTGTGGGGACGGTCCATTAATTTCTATGGGCATAACCCTAATCCCAACAATGACAACTTAACCCCTACTCAGCTCTAATCTTAACCAAAAGTAACCAAACAAAATACAAATCTTTTGGCATTTTATTGTTTTGATCAGAGTCACAGATTTTTAGAAAACTGAGGTTTCCCATAGGGTCAAAAAATGGGTATTCATCATATTGTGGAGACATTTGGACCCCACAAGGTAAGATATGCCTGAACCACACACGCACACACACATAAAGACCAATGATCCGGCACGCTGTGCAACATTCAGCTTCTCCTGTCACCCCACACTCAGCGGGCTGCTCTGACTCAGCCCGGGTCCGTCTGCTTGGCTCAGACTCCAGGGCAGGCGAGGCAGCGTTGCAGAGCGCAATGACTCAGTGCTTGGGGGGGTTTAGCGTCACCTGTGTGGCAGCCGCGGTGCACCGTCTTCTTGCCGTGCGGGGGCTGCTCAGAGTCGGCCTGCCTGCGGAGGGCGCCACGGAACCGCGCGGTCCTCTGCTTCCACTGACATGCCTCCTCTTCCTGCACAGAGTGTTGGGCAGCAACATTGGTTACCGCCCCCCTCCAAGGGAAAAGCACCCCCTGTCAGCAGTACAAGGCCCCTTATGAGCAGCCTGCTTACCTCCCCCTTCAGGGAATGTTTATGTCCACGGGGGGCGATACCAGGTCTGCGACGCACCTGGGGGGGCTTTTCCCCAGCCTCCAAAGGAAACTCGCTGGGAAGCTGCCCGGTCAGCTCCTGCAGGTGTAAAAGGAGCGCTACTTCAGAACCGGGACATGGCAAACACACAGCACTGCCACCATTCAGCACCCAAGGACTTGCTCTTCCATCTCTAGATGTTTATTTTCACTGCAGCTGGGGGGGGGCAGCAACCAGTGACCGTAATGGTGTGGAAGTCACTATTTTAGGCTCAGGCTCCTATGTAACATGAGTAGAAGGAGAAAGAGAAGGAGAAGCAGCCTGCCATAGTGGGGCGATGAGAACGAGGCACGTGTGCCAGGAAAAGGCCGGCCCTCATGCGGCGACAGATGTGAACATCTGTCCCTGACTTGGAAAACAGGGCGACCGTGTTTTCAACCCTCAAACCAAGTATTTCTCACTCCGGTCCTCGGGGACCCAAAGACGGTCCACATTTTTGCTCCCTCCCAAAAATGTCTGGCAGGGAGCTGGGAGGGAACAAAAACACGAACTGACTGTGGGTCCCTGGGGACTGGAGTGGGAAACACTGCTCTAGCCTTTATGCCTGTGTGGTGTGTGTTGGGGACGCTGTGGAGGAGCTGTCCCCGACGCCGGCACTTTAAAGACGGAGCTACTGACCGCTTCCAGCAGACAGACGTGCCTGAGCTCCCCCAGCCGAGTGTTCAACAGCGTCTGGAGGTTCCTCCTGCGCTCCTGCAGCTCAGAGACACGCTCAGCGTGCTGTTTACTGTCCCCGCAACCCTGAGGATCTGAGCATGCATGCGTGAACGCACGCGCACACACACATACACAGAGCAGAGAACAGAAAACAGGGACATTTTGTTTAACGCCACCCATGAAATCTATAGAATAAACATTGTGAAGGACAAAAGAAATAAAATGTGCCCAAATAAAGATAAACCCTCTGGTTTCAGGCCACCTTCCCTCCCAGGTACCCACAGAATAGCCTGCATATGCAGTGCTGATGAATGAGGACGCCGTCCAATGGACGGAGAGATAAATCGAGCCACAAAAACACACCCCCCATGTTGCTCTGCTGCTCATTTCCAAAAAGGCAGATGGAGCCGCTCTGAGAAGGTACCAGCGGCTCCCCGTCACCCGAAGGCCGAGGAACACCACACACGGCGCTCTTCCTTAGCAGCCCACCACCGCCATCTCACCTGGAGCTCCGAGGCCCGCGACTGTGATCAGGTGCCCTTTGACCTCCATGTCATGTGACTCACGAGCAGCCCTGCCCCTCAGCCTGTCGACCAACTGAGTGCTCACCTACAGAGGAGGCAGAGAGTGGTGTTAAGGCAAAGGACAAAGGAGGAGCATTAACCACCCGCCAGCTGCTCCTGCTCTCACCGTGCAGCTGTTCTCATGAGGGAAACACTGCTCTGGGCCTGTGGCCATCCAGTGCCGCACTTATCCCAGCACCCTGAAGGGGGAGCCACTGTGCTGCTGTGCAATGCTTGTCTAATGCAGATCCCTGTTTAAAAAAAACACACACACAGGTTTGTAATTATATATTTGTGGGTTCTCTCCATTCATTTATATGAGGAAAACTCTAATCCCAACATAAAAACCTTAATCCCTACCCAGAGCCTTAACCATAAGTAACTAAACAAAATACTAGACTTTTGGCATTTTTAGTTTTTTGATGCATTTACAGATCTTTGTGGGGACCTGAAAAATGGTCTCCACAACATCAAAATACCAGGTTTTTATTACTTTGTGGGGGACATGTGGTCCCCACAATGTAATATAAAGTTAATCCACATTAACTTTGGCATGGATTCTACCCTCACAAACAAACACGGTGTTCAGACCACCAGGGGAACTGCACACGATCCCCCTGCAATCAACCCATGAATATTCACTGTTGTGAGTGAAGTGCTCTGATTTAGCAATTTTTTTTAACAATTTAATAATATGTCACCAACTACAGTGCACTGAACACAAGAAACACAAATTTACAGAGAGACAGACACCAAACAAAGCTATGACAACAATCTGGTCAATTACAATGCTAAGTTACCCATAATAGAGTGACATAACCATCTAAAAAAAAAAAGTCTTTTTTTGACCTCCTCATAGCAGTCCTTAAGCAAAGAAAAACTGAGTTTGGGAAGGTCAGAGACACCAGAGGAGAAACTCAGATGAGACAAAAAGTGTCAGGTTCTTTGGAGTCCTCGTCAGTCCTTCATGGTCGTGGCCTGACTGAAGCTAAATAAAGTTCCCCTTGAAGCAGACTCTGCTCCCACACAGCAGCAGGGCGGATGGGAACAGGACACACAGTCAGGGGCGGAAGGGGCTCACAGATAGGAAAAGGAGAACAACAACAACCAGGACACAAATCAGAGCCCTTTAGAAATTCTATGGACTTTCTTGCCATCGTCTGACCGCAAACTTGGCCTCTGAAAAAGAAAGCAAACATCTTTGTCTGCCTAAACAAAAAAAAAAAAACAACTGTCAGCAAGCATTTGATAAACATTAATAAACATTGTCTAAGTAAGTGTGATGTTGGGTTTCACATTCCAGCAGCTAAAAGGAGCATTCATGTGATTTAAATGTGATTCAAGCTGATCACAGCACGGTGCAGGTCACCTTAAAAAGGTGCTAGGAGTTATGTGTCTAAATGAACAGAGGGGGGCGCAGGTGGGTCCGGTCATTAATACCTGTTACGGGATCACACGTGCAGCACAGCCCAGCCCTGAATGTGAAGTTACAGATCCTCTCTCTCTCTTGCGTGCGCTCTCTCTCTCTCTCTCTCACACACACACACACACACACACGACACGGAAGGTGAAAGAGCATGAAAAGAAGGACGTGGGAAAAATGACCCAGCCAGGAAGAAATGGAGAGCAGCTGTGTGACAAAACATCCAACAGTGCTTATGAAACATACATATTCAAATGAAGAGGACAGGATTAGCTAGCTGGCAGGAATGAACGGGCTTCAAACAGCAGCCCTCGCCTCGCATGTGCGTGCAGTGTGCGGGTTAATCGGCTGTGCCCAGGCAAACCACGGGCACATGGCCACAGCCTGGCCAGTGCGTCACGCCAAGTGCCAAAAGGCAGAAGCGGGACAAATGGCTGCATCCCTCTACCCCCTGCATTTTCATCGCCCCCCCCCAATCCCATTCGTGATCTGCCATTCTTCTGTCTGTGCAAATTCAGTGACTTCGTCACAGATCAGACCTGACCTCTCCAGGGATTGTGACTTACAAGCAACATCTGTTAATTAAGTCCTCACTAACGAGGCTGGGTAAGGAGCAGCTGCACTTCTCTCAGCCTGGAACAACTTCCATGCAGCAAGTGAGAAGGAAAAGGGAAAAAAAAACAACAATAACAACTATAAAGGCCAATAACTCCCCCGGTGTCTGGCAGGGTGATCTGCAGACAGATCTCTGGTCACCGAGTGGCAGTTTGACGGCGAGCCCCACGGCACTGGATCGGAGCCACAACGCAACACTCTCCCGGCACGTGTCGGCAGCCGCCAAGTCCTCCCCCCGCTCCACTGCCAGGACCCTGCTGGCCCTGCTGGGAGCATCGCTTGCTCTGCTCTTCACATGCATTCTCCATTCAAGCAAAGCCTGCAGATATACTTACAAACCTAACCCCTGCCAGACACTCGCAAAGTGAAGGCTGTCTGTCAATCACCAGGGACAGTATATCTCCATTTAATCACAAATGACCACAATAAATGATTCACACATAGGTGGTCCAACACAGGTCAGCAAAGTATGCATATAGAAATGAGTCTTTGAGGGCTCTTTGCATAATGTTAATTATTAATTTTCAGGCTTTGTAACTTTGATAGCCAGCAAAGTAAACAGTTTCTCCAGGCCCAGATTCATTGCTCATGTTTCACTCTGGAACCTTCTTTCATGTCCTATCTGCTCCATCCTTGTTTGTAAATTTCCACCACGTTCCTTGATATTCTGTATTAAATTTCCCAGGACTTCACAGAAACCCTGAAACGCAACTCCATCAAGATAGGGAGGGGTCCATCCTGAAAATTAACATAACCATTAACATTAACATAAATTGTGCATTCCAGAGTCTGTTGGGAGGGGGGCTTCAGCATGAATCTGAAAAGACAGCCACATGCCAGGTGAGAACTGCCGGCTAGCAGTCTGAATGCCGAAAGCTGATTAGCGACCCACAGGCCATTGGCAGGCTTTGTGTGGCTTATGCCGTCTTCAGGCATTCTGAGTCAAAAGATAAGTGACAATAGGAGGACTTTGCCTTGTGTGCTTTCAAGAATCCATTTCTATCACCTGTGAAGCAGAGAATCGGGAACAAAACCTGTTTTTTCACATTGCAAAAATTCTAAGTGCTCTTGCAAGTAAATATGCAGCTATATGGCTTATAACTGATTTATAATAGGATGTTTGCCTATATCAGGCCCTATTGAAGAGGACAGTGGAAGTTTTGTAGCTAACAGCTCTCCAGGGGAATCCTTTACGGGACCCCTTCCCCCACCCTTGCCTGCCCAAGGGGCCACTTTCGAAGGGGTAACAAATTTAAGGGGCACTTCATTAAATGTTTTCTACAAGGTCATACAAACATCACCAAGGACAAATAATGGCTTGACTATCTGATCCTTCCAAGCAGTCACAAGAGACTGAGAACTGTGAAGTGAGAGTGAGCTTAGAGGGTTTTATGTACAAAAATACAGACAAAGCAAAGCTTTTTGCCATGAAGCAGAAAGGCATCCCCACTACGAGTAAAACTCTATGCATGTCTGGTGGTGTTTTCCTATACAGTTGTGAATCTATCATCTTCCATCAGAAGTTGCTAGTAGAGCAAATGAGATATGAAAAAAGTGCAGAGTGTAACCTTGAGATCCAAAGAAATCATCTGTCTCGCCTTAATTCAGTTTTTCAGAGGTCAAATCTGCGCTTCCAATGTTCCACAAACAGCACTTTTATGCAGGCTTGACCTACAACAGATTATCAAGATAATTGTGCCATGCACAATGACATTTGCCATAGGCAGGCTGTAAAAATGATGAGTCAAAAGCTGAACAATGCACTAATGCTTTATGGCTTTTTAGTACAGCACCCTTAAAGGTTCTCATGCACACATTTCCCGATTACGCAACAACCACGGGAAGATGAGCTTTTAAATAAATAGGCCGTTGGTATGGCCCCGTTTTTGCTCACCGGGACGTGAAGGGCAGGGCTCCAGCCGACAGGTGGAGGGACAGGTGGAGACAGATGGTGTCAAACAAAATTGGAGAGAGTGACAAAGCAGGAGCTTTTTCCTCCAGGCCAGACAGCTGAGAATGCACCCACTGGCTTGGCCCAGGACAATGTGGCTACGAACCAACGAGCCCACTCATACCAGAGGCTCTCAATAACAGCATTGACGGCAACTGACTAAAAGCTCCTGGTTATACTGGCAGAAAGTTCAGTCATGACAGCAATGGCAAGAATAATGCGCCTATAGTGTAAATCTTCATCTGAGAACTTCACAGAAATAGCACCACATCCATCCATCCATCCATCCATCTCCAACCGCTTACCCAGTACAGGGACACAAAGAGTCCAGAATCCATCCCAGGAGTCAAGGCAACATGGAATGGCTTTGGAAACGGATGCTCTAACACAAATTAGATTACCTCCACAAGCTTAACATTAATTTCAATCAGATGTTCATGGATGCCTTGATTAGACAACCAGTTCCTCGGCTTTGAAATGGGTCTTAGATCAACAGGGAGCATAAAGATACCAACCGCAGCTGATCTGTAGCTGCAGGTCAGTCTATGTGCTGGTCTTAAGGCGAGGCACATCTGGTGCTCATATGTCTCCAGGAGCTTCCCCCTCTGGAGGGACACAGAGGCAGACAGCTACCGCTACACACCGGCCCACCACGAGGAAAAGGCATTCCAGGACAAAGGAGGCCATCTGCTTAGTCAACATGGACCCAATTCAGGGCTCCCTTCACCACTTAGGCGAGAAGTTGGAAATGGGTACAAGCTACACGGTGCTTTCATGCCAAAGCGAGCTGATCACAGAGGAGCAAGATTTTATGGTCTTTGTGTTTCTCTCAGACTGACTGCAGCATGTGGCAGACAAGGTCGACATGGTAATTTAAAAAACACCCAGGTGACCAGATGAGCACCTCGAAAAAGTCCAGAAAAAAACAAGGAAAAACCCGAATGAAAATGAGGTATGAACACAAAAACAGAGATAGAGGTGGGGATCATTAAATATTAAATTAATTCAAAATGCAACACAGAAATTAGTTTCTCTTTCAAAGGGGGGGAGGGGTGCAGAGAGAGAAAATCAGCATGAAGTCATGGCAGCAGGGATGAAAAGATCAAAAGATTATGAGTAAAAGAGCAAGACAAGCAAAGAGAGAGGGAGAGACAGGGTAACTGCAGAAAAACAGGAAAAACGTAACGACAACAAGAAGTGCCAAGAGGACGCGGGCAAGACAGAGAGACAGCAGGGGAGACGGAGCTCGGTGAGCAGCAGCC